TTATGCAGACGATCAAGAGTGTCACAATAGTTATATATTTGACATTAATATGTAAATTTCATTACAATTTTATTACGTAGCGGTGAATGCCATACCAGAAAACAAACTTTTTAATAATTCTGCAAACAACCAATCAAAATTGTTAAAATGTACGAACTCTGAATTAGATTATATAGATTTATCAGAAATTTTAGAGATAAGTCCTAAATATCCTATGGTAGCACATACAAAAATTATAGAGATATTGAAAGACAATTTCCATATAACACTGGCTTCAGAATAAACCATTAACAGCTTTAAAAACTATCTGAAGACAGTTGACAGTAAATCTATATTTGGTTAGTTTAATTCTGAAGAATATTAATAAAAAAACATTCACTTTAATTAAGACAAAAACTTGTTAAAGAATAAAAAGTACAAGTTGAATGTTCGTTATGGTTAAACAAATCTCATACTATATATAAATATAGTGCTAAGTGATGTAATATTGTGAAGTTTAAGTGCTAAATTTTACTTTCCATTGAATTTAACACATTGTTCAATCAGTGGAATGCACATTACTAAAAATGCCATAGTAAACTATATACTTTGTAATATTACATATCACTCCATTCCTGATATAAACTTGTTGGTGAATTAATCATTAATAAAATAACTTGTTAGTAAATTGAAACAAAATATTGGTAAATGATTATCAGTAAAATAAGTACTACTAATTTTTTACTTATCTATTGCACTAATAATATCTAACTACTTGTACATCAGTCAGATAATAATCATTTATTTTGTTATTTATAATGTCATTTATAAAAATAATTTTAATGATTTGTCATTTTGCCAAGACTTAATACAATTTTTTTTTAGAATAAATGATATTGTCAATTTAAAATGACATGCCATTTATAGTTATTTTCATAAAAATTTTTATGACCTTGTCATTTGCCAATACTGTGTATGGTATGTACAATACGTATGGTTTTTTAAATAGAAACGTATGCCTAGCATACCAGATCGACTAGATTACCCATATTCATATTATGTAAAAGAAATTTGGAAACTGTACCAAACTAGTATGAGAGAACGCTTGAGTGTATATACTGTTATACGTGAAGTTGATCTCTAATGCAACTTCCGGGAACTATGGTTTAGTCTATTACAGACTAATGAATTATGATTTGGCGAGGCAAGAGAATGTCGTATGAATGACTTAGTAAGAGGTTTGTAAGGCTTTATCGAAAGAGGCTAACAATACAATGTATATAAAGATACGAAGTATTGTAGTAAGAATAGGTCACGAGTCACACGTGACTACACAATAATACTCAACAATCATGAGTCACACGTGATATACAACAGGTTTATTTGTTCGTGTATGAAGACACGAAGTGTATAGTTTATTAATAAAATAAAGATAACTGTATGAAGACAGTTATAAGAATATAATGAAGAATTCAAAACTAGGCTATTAAGGGAACTATATATATATAGGGATATATAGTTATTAAAGGGATGTCGAAGACTGAAGAAGCTAACTAGGCTAATTCGCGTCCTTTATATAACAAACGTGGCCATATAATTATTTACAATAGACGACTACAACTCTATTATTATCTATTGATCTATTAATGAATAATCCCACTATTCTTATCAACACCAATCCCTTCACTATTTCATGTATAGGCTTCGGGTCTTTGTCTTTAATGGGCCTCAACCCGGGCTTGATCCGTCACGATCTTGATAATAATTAAGTGGAAAGCCCTTAAGCTTGTTCATTTCTTGCTTTTCGCATGGATGGCACGAGCGGGATAGAGTTTTTCGTCTAAATAGCGGCGGCAATGAAGCCAATTTGGGGTTAGGATCTTCGACACAGTAGCTAATAGACCCTTTTAGGGACTACCATTGATGTCGTGGCATGTGTTGTCCCTACGCTACACATCACCAATATCGGGACCGATATAGTAACTAGAAGCGATGTGTATGTTTTAACAATTTGGCACTGTGTATAATAATACGAGTACGGGGTCAATACGAATATTAGTAGGGCGATTGTCCTTCGATCATTCACGATCGACAGTTTAGGAGTTCAAGATGATCGTCGCTGCGGCAATTATACACCACGCCAATCAAGTTCTTCTTTAAGTTGTTGGCGCGTGCAGCATTTCAGTAAAAATAACAGGGGTAAGTTCACAGTATCCCTGAATATCCCGTGGTAGCACGTAAACGATCATAGGGATATTGGAAGGTAATTTTCATGTAACAGTACGACGCGATCATACAAAAACAACAGAAGAGACCGTTGATGCCACACAATTCCACACCTGGAGTGCAACATATAAAATAATTATTTTACAATGCCAGATTATTCCGCTAGTACATAGTACATGTTATGATCATAATCCAACACCTGTTTTAGGGTCGTCTAAAGTGGGCATAATCACGTGATATTCGACTAATCAAATTATAGATCGCCGGCGAAGCAATACAAAAACTTGAAAATTCAAAAGCAACAGTCAAAACTACCTTGAGTAAGTTAAGTAAAAATGTCAGGAAGGCAATTTTGCATATTTAACTATCTAAAACCTGCTCTAACTCTAAAAGTTTATTCAATAAAATAAAATATATATTGTAAGAATCTACTCCGCTTTAGATGTCCCCTTGTTTTATTATAATAAAACGGGTGTTGGATTATAATCATAACATGTACTAGCGGGATGATCTTGTATTGTAAAATAATTATTTTATGTGTTGCACACCAGGTATGGAATTAGTTGTATAACATAAACAGTCTCTCCTGTTACAAAAAACAAAGTAATTCAATGGACAATTTCCTTATTTGGCAATGTGGTTGATCACGATGTAATACAAGAAAAAAGACATAAAATGAAATAGGAAAAGGCACCACAAAGTTTTTTTTTAATTCGGAGATCTATAACCTGTCCAAGATTTTTTGTTCTACGTACAGTACGTACGTACATACCTAGCAAATGAAACACTGAATTAAGATGCTGGGGGCTTGGATGTTACACGTGAGCTGCACAATACACGTTTCGTAAATCAAAATTTATACATAGCCTTACGTAGATGATTTTCGTGTAACAATCATGATCTATAGTAATGCTGTAAATTATATTAATATTATTTAAATTCTTAAAATTAATAAAAAGTGCTCAATTAGATTAAAATACAGGATCTATTGAATAATCGAGCAATTTTTTACGCTAGTTAATATGCAATTTACATAGAAGATACAATTTGAAATGAACAATTTTTTATGATCGTTTCATATAAGATTTTTAAACTTCAAACTGAATCTCCTCCGTAAATTAAAAACGACAATTTAAAAATATTACTTAGTTGCTCAGCAGAATTTATATTTTATACTAAGAGTTTTTTAAAAAAAATTTTTTTAATTAAATTTTTATGAAGTAATCTATTTGTCGCCGGCGGCAACGGTACCCGGATTTTGTTTACATTTGTATTTAGAGTTAAAAGGATATAATATTATACAAGGAATACTTTATTTAAGACATGGAAGTTGATTTCATAGACGTTATTTTGATTTAAAACTTTTGAGAGTTTTGTAACTGTCAGCGACAAACAGATTCGCCTACATTTTATTAACCATTATCAAATACTTTAATATAGATAATCGTGATTGTTACACGAAAACTTGTTCTAACCTTCATATAAAACCATTGTACGACGTTAACTTAGTTTGGAGAGCATCAAGAAAGAATATTTTAAATAGGCAATTTATTTATAAAGACGATTTTATGAGATTTCTCTTTATTACTTTTACATTACACTGAGTCTTGGGCCTTCCTTAAATACATGCTATCGAATATACATATATGCATTCGTATTTCATATTAACAGGTCTTGAATGAATACATTTCACACTAAATAAACTATCATTGGCTATCTAACTTCAAATGGTAACACCGCATATGGTCGCGAAGTTTTGTTACACTAAATTACAAATTGGATGCACAAAAATTTCCAAATTACGTTTTTGTCATGATCTTCATAATGTTTAGTCAATTATTTATTATGTACAGTTCAGCTATACCTAAATTATATCACCCTTTTTTTTCCAAAGAATTCCCGGAGATAGAACTAATATAGGGATGCAATTCAATATATAGATATAACCTAGGTCCGATTTTATATGAAATTTCGGTAAATTTAGGAGGAAATGCATCAAAAAAATTCACTATTTTTGGTCAAAATACATCAAAAAACATAATTTTTGTGATACTGAGGGTCCCCGCTACGCTCTGGTCAATTATTTAAACACAATTATAGTGATACATTATGATGATACATTTATTAGGCATAAATAAATAAATCTAAGTGCTAAACCATCCTTTCCTCTTCTGTTAAATTTTCTCTTATATCTGTCTATGTCTTCGCTTTTGTTCTTTTAATTTCATATATAACACGTACGTATTCATATTATTATGATATTAGCATTTTTTGCATGAAAAAATTCAAAATAATTCAATTAAGTCATAATAAGAATTGAGCACAAAAGTTATTCCATAGTTTCAGCCTGCATTACGTTGGCCATGGTCAATACCGGCTGAATTAATGGTTAACACAGTTAAATGGTTATAAAATTTTGTGTACAGATGCGCATTAATGTACATACATGAAAATACATTGACCCAACTTTAGATATACTTTAGCATCAGAGATAAAAATTTTTATTATGTAAATCTTGATAGGAAAAATGCGCGTTTTTCATGCGCACGATTGCGCATTGGTTCATCTCTAGTTATGACAATTTCTCCATTAACAATTTTATTAACGTTAATGTCATGGTAATTAGGTGGACGTAGCGCATTTATCTAACTGGAAATTTGATTTTTTTTTTCAGAAATATCTTATATATTTAATATTGGTATGTACAATAGAATAATGCTACATGATCTTTAACTATTTAAAATAAATAAATATTTTATTTATTTGTTATAATTTTTAAATATATAAGATAAAAAATGGCAAATACCCAAAATTACTTAACCGAAGTAAAATACCAAACAAACATTGACCATTCGTCAATACCATCGGATCCTCCACCGCCGTTTTCTGGATCTGGTCCAACACAATTTCAGTCCTCACAACCACAACAAGTTTTCTCCAATCAACCCTTACAACAACAAGTTTCTCCTGTTCAGTCCTCAATGCCACAACCTTACTCCTATCAATCCGAACCTCAACAATTTTACCCCAATCAATATCCACAAGGACAGCAACAATACGTCCAGCAGGTTAATCAAGCTCAATATTCACAAAAGCAACAACCACAACTCCCTCAATCCACGTATCAACAAGCAAACACGGGATTTTCTCCGACTGAGCAACAGACGAGAGGCATTCCAAACCAACAACAGACAAGCGCTTTACCTCAAGAACAAGTCGTTTACGTAGTGCAACCACCACCTCCTCCCGTGATGGTAATGAATCCGAATCAAGGATATATTAACATTTCTTCTCATGTGCCAGTGAGAGTAACTTGTCCGCATTGCAATAATAGCGTAGTTACGGTTGTAACCGAAGATCTTGGATCAACTGCATGGATTCTTGCTATAATTTTATGCTTAGTATTTTGGCCGCTTGTTTGGATACCTTGTGTTCTATCTAATTTTAAGGATAAAACTCATACTTGTCCAAATTGTAGAACTGTTTTGGGTGTTGTTAAAGCTTAAATTTTATTTTATTATTTTTTGCAATATGTGACGATCTGAATAATTATTTTTGAGTCCTGTGAGTCCGTGAATTCAACATAAATAGCAAAGTATGACAAAGTTTAAGTGATTCCCTTATTGTAATCGCACGGCCCACGGGCTCGAAAAAAATCATGGTTATATTACATTGCCTATTTATAATTTATCCCTAAAGATAAAATATGCCTCGATTGTCTCAATTGTCTTTTTTTTTAATTTATTTCTAAAAAATCAATATTTGTTAATGAATTCCTAATGAGTAATTCGTGTAATTAAAGCAAAAAAAAATCCGGGACAGGTTATATTTAATTCCGATCTCCCAATTGACCATTGTAAAAAAAAAAAGAAAAAAAAACAAAAAAAATATCTTATGATTAAATAATTTCAATTGATTATTAATTAAATAATTCGATTTTAAACTTTAAATTTATAAAATAGTTTCGATTTAGATTTCAAATTGGTTATTTTCAATGAGAATAGCACGAATTGTCTTCATGAATATCTAATATAAGTAGGAAATTGCTAGTTATTCTATAATTTTTATCATTAAAATGTTGTTAACGATTAAGATATTCTTTGTAAATTTTTAGATTTGAAATATAATTTTTTAACATTTATTATAAAACACACCTATGGTTGTTTGCACCTATTATATGTTTTTATATTTTTCTAAATTTTTATAAGTTTTTTACATAAAATTTTAGCCCAAATTTTTCATATTCGGGTTAGTATTTAACGTTAGAATTAAGGTTTAGAAATGGTTTTGAGGGACGTAGAGCAGTTTTACTTAGAGTCTCGCATATTAGGAAATTTTATATTCATTGCTTTACGAATGTTCAATAAAAAACACGCACATAAACTGGTAGTAGTATTTTAAGATATTATTATGAATTCACCAATTAAGGCTGTACTGAGACTTTATTCAAAATTATAGAAAAGCACATAATACAGCATATCAATGCTTATTAATTCTTAAATGCAATTCTGTGCAAAATTTCAAACACTAAAAAATATTGCAGATTTTTTATAAAAAATTCTACTGATGAAGAGATTGTTGAGAAAATTAAATAAAAGAAGGTTTGAGAATGTGATTAGATTTTCTCAGGAGGAATACAATAAGTTTCTATATTGGTTATAATGTTGACTAAAATTTTAAGAAGTATTTAAAACATGTATACTTTATATAGATAATACTAACTAAATTTTTTTATAGATTTAATCTCATAGAACCTAATAATAATCTAGTTTTTTTTAAAAATTAATTGTATTTTTTTATTAAATTATTGTTTATTTTATATGATCATGTAAACATTTTTGCAATGAAATGGCATCATTATTTGTCAAAATATCCGCAGGTTGAATCAATGAATATCGGGTGCATACAGGAGAAATGTTTCCCGATATGTACCCGTTAGTCCGCAGCATGTTGGTACAGTAACATATTTACCCTAGGTGCCGCACAAAAAATGCGCGGCAGATCCTCGATTTTGATTGGCTAACGGCCGAAGATCTTCGAAATTTTGGTCCGCATTACAAAATTGTTTACCAAATTCCGGCCGAAAATAACTTTCTAATTTTTTCGTTACAAAAATAGAAATTTTTAAAAAATAAGCACGCATTATGGTAAAATTGACCCAGGAACAATTTCACTTAATGGGCGGCTGCGATTTCATTAGTAAAATTATGAGTAATTCCGGCTTAATTTTTTTAGCCAATTAAAATCGAGGATCTGCCGCTCATTTTTTGTGCGGCACCTAGGTTCAATTTGGAAACATATTTGTAAGATATCAGGAAGCAGATCGAGATCAGCAACATACAGCGTAATATTGGGATACTCCAATATCTTACTTTTAGTCCAGAGTGCTAAGAGTAAGATATTAGGGTATCCCAATATTGTGCTGTTATGTTACAGATATCGATCTACCTCCTGATGTCTTACAAATATGCTGCCAATATGCTGTTGATATTCAGCAGGTATGTGGTGGATCTATGGCGAACTAACAGGTACATATCGGAAACTTGTCTCCAGTATGCACCCGATATTCATTGATCAACCTGTTATCCCAGAAAAAACATCACATGTCATATAATACAATCAGTAATATCGATATTAGTCGTACGTAAATTTTTTCATCGCGTGTTAATGTCATTTACACTAGTTAAAATCAAAAATATTAGTAAAATACCATTATCTTATATGTGACTTATATGTAACTATAAGTTACATATAAGTTATATATCAGATACTGACATTTTATCGATGGTTTTGATTTCAACTAGTGTCATGGAAGTGACATTAACTCTGATGAAAAAATATCCTGTTATTTTTCATCATATGACCATTGTCTTATAATTATAGATCATATTAAATATTATTAAATTATTTTTTTTTTTGTATTAAATAATATGTTTATCATGCTTACTTTTATAAATATTGTGTGCTTTTTTAATTTAAAAACTAAATTTCTATTTGCAAAACTCTAAATTTTATTAATTTATCAATATTCTATTTATTTTATTATAAGTAATTGATAACTTGGACGTTCTATAGAATAGGTAGGCAAACTCTGCTAAACTTACCAAACATTACGTGAATATATTTAAAAACATCACGTGAATATATATTTAAAATTTAATGATTACTAATCGTCGGCGAAGCTTATTTCTTATATTGCCACCTATTCTACAGAACATCCGTTTTAAAACTCTCTAAAAGTCATTAGAGGAATCTTCAATTTCCTTTTTTGGGATTGTATCACTCGCAGAAATAGCGATAAGTATTCCACCATTTAGATACTGATTTCAAGGATTAGTGGATGGTTGATCTTGCCTTTTATAACGTACAGTACGTACATGTGATGCCAAATTGACAAGCCAAGCATTTCTTAGGGTTAGTATTAGAGTTTGGGGCAGTGTTGGAAATCTGTTTTAAGATTTATGTTCTCATGAGCGTGAGAACAAATTTATTTAATTTAATGTTCTCGGAAATTTATTTATGTTCTCAAAAATAAAATATATTTATATCCCTATTTTTTAAAATTCTTATTTAGGAAAATATCGGTCATTTATTTCAAAAATTTTCCCAACCCTTCTCGTCTTTTACAGTATTTCATTCATTTCTTTCGGATGATTTCGGAACTTCGTTTGATTCCTAATTTTATCTCCATCTGGCATTATGCTATTATAATAATAAATTTTTTCATATTTTTCGAGTATTATGTTCTCAATTTTTTTTTCATAAAGAACATTTACAGAATATAAATGTTCTCAAATCTTAAGGTATGTTCTTATAAGAACATGAGAACATAAGATTTTCTAACACTGGTTTGGGGTAGAATTTATAATAAACAAGTATAAGTGGGGTTTGGAGGATCAAATAGAACGCTTCATTTAATTTTAATATGATCCGCGACAATTGTTATTTGATCACAGATATCTTTTCAATCCATTTTAGTTAGATTAAATACTGTTATATTTTATATTATAAATATTTTTTGATATTTTCATAATCTAATCTATATTTAACATTCATAAATTTACGTATTACTTGATTTGATATTCTTTCTACGAACATTTTTCATTGTCTTAACTGATCAGTGATCAACCTGTTAAGAAATGTGTGCTGCCAATGGAAAACCTGGAATTCTTAATTTTCGGAAACTCCGTTTCAGGAAACAAACAACATTTAATCTTATCGTTATTGCCTGGCAATGAAATTTCGGAAAGCTAGCAATTTCAGGTTTTCCCTTGGTAGCATTCAAATCCGAATCGTAAAAAAAAACAGATTTTAAATTTTCGGAAAACAACTAAATAAATCAATGCTCCTGCTCGTGTTGATCGATCGATCGTTTTACAGTCAAAAAATCGATTGATAATTCAAAAATGGTTTATTTCCTGTGTAACTTATCTATACTGTAATTAGAATAGACAAGGTCTCAGATATCCCAATTAATTCCACCGGTACAAAAAAGTTTATACTAACCCAAAAATAACTTAACTAATCAAAATAAGATCAAATTAAATTTCTAAGCTAACGGAGATTCTTGCATATTCTCCGAGAGCAATCCATGATAATTAAATAATAATTTGTGGCATCTAGGACATGTAAACAGAAAACAAACTTACTCTTAGCAAAATGGTCATTCTAAAATGGTTATGACTTTCAACTATTGCAAGTTTTGTTATTAGGTGTATCCATTACAGACACACACAAATAATTAACAGGTTGACGATACATTTTACTAATCCACACAACGATGCCCGTTGTGAACGGCTCCCGGGTCCCCTAATATATTTTTTTTATGTTGGTTTCTTTTGATATCTCGTTTTTCTTTTAGTTTATTCGTTATCTGTCTTTTTTTTATATTGTTATTCTTTTTTTTATTATTTATCATTTTCGTTATCTGTCTTTTTTTTGTTGGCACAGCCCCGTTTAGTATAGTAAGTTACCCTTACCCGATTTAGAAGTATGTTAGCCATTTCGATCTCTTAGGAATTTTGAGAATCCTTAAATATTCTCGTAATTTCCATAATCTCCCAAATACCGGAACTATGGGCATTGTGAAAGCAATTAAGGGAAGTAAAAACCCGATTAGGTAAGAATAATGAGAACTAGGAGAATTTCGAAAATAATTAAGGGAAAATTTTGGGAATTATGAGCGAAGTGAATATGTAAAGCCCCAGTTAAAAATAGAATCTCAAATGTACTTACTAAGAGCGCAAAAGTTATAAAAGCGCTGGCTGTTTGCCTTGAATAAAAAACAACTCATTAGAGTCTTCAAAACTTCGAACTTATTATTAGTAGAAGTTGTTCCTTAAAATTCTTTGATCCCTTGACCAAAACGTTCATAGTAACGTTTGATAAAACCTTTTTCTTACCCGGTTACTTTATCCGAAAATCGTACCCCATTATAGAAATTTAGTTAGAGTTTTGAGCCTTCGAAATTCGAGTAGAAGTGCTCACTCTAAGCTACCCGCCTTTT